ATAAATTGGTCAAATGTAAGCAATTTACTCGATCCATGCATCATAATACTTTGATTTTCGTTGCGTAAGTTTACGTATGTTTGACATAAAGGTAGCAGTGTCTCTTAATTGTGGAGAGTAAAATTATTTTGAAAACTCATTGCATAAAACTACATTGTTAGTCTTAATTGTCAGTCATTTTTCCTCTTGTCCCATATCACATGCATATAATATTTAGTATAACTATACATATTCTTATAAATATTTAATGTAAAGTTAATAATACATTTTATTTTATAGGTGGGGATTATAAGATGAAAAAAGGCACTCTTCATTTTACAAATATCGCCCTCTTGGATAAAATATCTACTGATGACCACTCTTCAATGGACTTAGAGTCAGCTAATTCAACCTCAAATCTCTCTGTAAGAGATGAAAGCCAATCTCTTGCATCGAGTAAATCATCTTACTCTAATTCATTGTGTTCAGGAAAATTGAATGCTGCTAATTCAGAGCCTAATCTTAGCAGTACAACGTCTAACGTTTCTTCTTCATCTAGCAGCTCTGAATCTCTCGATGAAGCAGCAACTAATACCAAACTAGAGCAAAAGCTCTGTACTCTATATTATCAACCCTCAAATATTTCAGTTAACTTGCCAGAATTTGAAGAATGCAAAATTATGCAAACTTTAAACCTGCCTACTACAGGCATGAACCAGAGGCTTCGCAATAATGAAGAAAGTAAAAAAAATGAGGAGGTTACAGTTTTGGAATCCAATAAATCAGAATTAATAAGAGTAAAGAATGGAAATGACAAGTCAACACGTTTATTTTGCATGCAGGTAGATGGACAGCAAGAAAATTTAAAAAAGTTAGAGAATAAACTAAATAATGGATCGAAAAAAAAAAATTCTCTCGAGTCAATGGCAGAAGCCTCACAAGCTCCACAAATTTGCAAGCATCAGACTCTCGAGACACACGTTAAATCCAAACTAAAAGCACCAAAAGAACAAAATATATTCTCCATATCGGAAGTTTGTGAAGAACTTGCAGAGGAAAGCAAAAGCCTAGCTGATGAGATAAGCATCCGAAATAAAGATAATCGTGTTGAAAAAAATCTTACCTTTTCAGGAGATTCGCACCAGCCGTACAGATCAAACTCAGTGAGCAGCAGTGCTGATGTTAACTGCCCGGTTGCTACAGTAGCAGCCAGTCAAAATACCTCATCAAATGGACTTTCGCCAGACAACAGGGATGAAAAAAGTCTGACGGTATCAACTAAAAATAAAGAGGAAATAAAATCCTGTTCATATGACAGAAAATACTGTGACGAAAAAGCCGAAAATGAAGAGTCGGAACTAGATGGCTGCCTCGGGACAGGCAAAAGGCAGAAAAAGGGAGCACTTATGCCAAATGTCAAAGAAGACGCATGTCCGACAAACCGGCATCCAAATCTGAATCCTGAAAAGCCATGTATTTGTCTGGTTGTCAAGCGGCTGGTGATAATGCAATCAAAGCCAGTGATCGATGAATGGCATGCACGAGTTTTGGCAGGTTCAGAATCCGACCAGACTTTGAAAGATGCGAGTAAGCTTTGCTGATAGAAAGGAGTAATCTACTTTAGGATGAGTTTTGCTACTTTGGTCGCCATTTTGTTGATAGATAAAATATATTTCACAACTCCGAAAATTCACTGTATAATTTATGCCACAGCATTAATGAGATTTTTGGCAAAGAAAGGCCATTTCATTCTAAATAGGCAGTATCAAAGCTAAAAATAGGATACTATATAACAAGTATTATGATAATTATATTTAATTGCTACTCTAGCTTACGATGACTTGGTGTAAAATTCCAATTTATTATTTTCAGAAGAGCATTTGATAACAACAATATTTCATTCGAATTGGTAACTAGCAAATGAATGTGGTTTATAAGAGCGAAATTGCATCAAAGTTACTTGCTTTGAAGTAAGATCAGAATTTAATTATAATCTTAGGGTTTGTTTGCATTTATATTACGATTTGTAATAGGTTAGCTTTAGATAATCTGGCTTTAACAGGTTCATATATCACTTATAGTGTTTAACTAATTAGATTGCGCAATAAATAAGTAAATATTATTCAATAGAAATCTTAATAATGGATGAAATTTTAGACTGACTAAAATTAGAAAGTAAATTTAGTCTACAGGATAAACTGCTTCCAAGGATCATAGAGCTAAATGCGCAAAATTGCAAATGGTAATTTTGCTTCATAGATTTCATACGTGTAAGAAGGAAGATAAAATATATGAAATAGTTTTTGAGGAAGTTTTTAAATAGATTCCAATTTTATGACTCATATCTAGGTGCTGTTTGGCTATATTAGTAGTGGAAGAGGTTGATGTGATTATTTTTAACATAAATATACCAATATAAAAGAAATATCGTATTATTACATGAAAAATTTGGGCTCAGAGTATTATCTCTATAGATATCTTCATAAACTACTGATACTATCCATGGCTGGTATTAAAAATATATCCCCATTATTTTAAAGTAACCGTAGTGATACCTAAATTTCACTCGTAGCTATTCCCT